GGTTAGTACAGTACCATTGAATGGGAAGCTGAACAACTAAGTCATGTTGTATACCTAAGGTATGAGAGAGTAATTAATATGTAGCCTCAGGGAAGGCTCAGGAGACCTTATCTTTGCATTGCTAAGTAACTCCTCAGTATTGGTACCATCTAGTTTCATTGCAGAGTGAGGTGTAGATTCTTTTTTGAGTATACCCCAGTTAATAGATTATTGTTCTTTCTAAAAACGTAGAAATAATTTTTTAAATATACAAAAAAAGTTTGTCTAGGGTACATAGACTGCCCAGAGTGTACATATAAAGTAGATTTATTGCAGTATAGCATATACACAACACAGTGTACAGTCATACATATATAGCCCTCACAAAAGCAAACACATCCTTGTAACCAGCACCTCGATCAAAAGACAGAACATTTCAGCATCCCACAAGCAGCCTTCACATCCTAATCAGTTGAAGGCAACCACTATCGTGGCTTCTAATCAGCTAGACTGGTTGTGCCTGGTTTTGAACTTGATATAAATGGAATTTCATTCTTTGTGTCCTGGTGTCTAGCTTCTTTCACCCAGTGTTGCTTGTGAGAGTCATCCTGTTGATGCATGTTGCAATTGTGTGTTCATTTCATCTCACCCAAATACTCCACCATGTGAATTCACACAGTTTGTCTATTCTGTTGCTGATAGGCATTTGTATAATTTCCAGGTTGGGGATCTTATGAGTGGTGCTGGTATGAACATTCGTAAGTTTTTCTTTTGATAAACATGTACACATTTCTGCTAGGTATATACCAGGATGGGAACTGCTGGGACATAGGATATGCAAATAATTTAGAAGATAATGTCAGTTTTCCAGGCTATGTGTTTTAATGAGAGAAAGGTCAGTTTCATCTTTAGATCAGGGTATCCAGTTGACCTGAGCTTAAGAATTAAGGCATCTTCTTGTTGTTCTTTTAATTATGGAAATAAATATGACAGACAAAAAGGAGTCGGTGAACTATTATCCTTAAAATAACTTGTTCAAAAAAAAAGACACCTCACTCATTTTAATGATCTGTTCATTATCCAACAAAGTGTATTTTTATTTTTACTATTTGGCAAGAATGAGAAAGAACAGTGGGCAAGAACAAGCCTTTACTTCCAGGGATTTGTGCATTGAGGAGATTGACTTCAAAACCCCCTCCAGCTTGTGTTCGAATTAAGAGTTCAAATGTCTGGAATTCCCTTGGTCCTCCAGGGAACTGGAATAAGGGAAAGTGACAACTTGGAAATAGAATGTGGAATGCCCACTCCACCCATCTATACCCTAACTCTGTTACTAAGAGTAAATCCTCAGAGAGGATGAACAGTCTGACCTTTTGGGATTGCTTCTTCATGTCATGCTTTAAGAAAACGTTTTTCCACTTTCACTTTTCAAATTCTCTAACAACCAAGAAATTCTTGCAGTCACCAAAATGTCAGCTAGGTATACTGTTTGGAATTCCTGGCTCTCAAATTAGAAATAGAATCCCCAGAAAACTCTATATTCTATTCCTTTCACAATTTTAGGTAGCAACAGAAAGTAATAAAAGATAAAGTCTCTGTGACTTTTAATTACTCCTGTGTGTGTGTGCGCTCAGTTGTGTCTGACTCTTTCTGAACTGTAGCCTGCAAGGATCTTCTGTCCATGGGATTTTCCAGGCAAGAGTACTGGAAGAGGTTGCCATTTCCTTCTCCAGAGGATCTTCCCAACCCAGGCATTGAACCCATATTTAATTATTCCTGACACTGGTTTTATATATAAAATGTTATACATATATAAAGTGTTACATATATAAAAAATGTTATGCCAGAACATTATATCTTGCTTAAAATGAAATGGATAGAAAAAAAGCAATCCTCTTTTTTTTCATGCATGCAGATTATCCTTAAGAAAAAGATAATGTGAATAAATTTATTAGCTTTGCTAGAAAAAATGCCTGTTTTTAATTTAACCTAGGTTTAGACTTCAGTACTTGAATTTTTTTTTTTTTTACCTGTGATGCATTGAAATTTTGAGCTTTAGTTTTTAATCTGTAAAATTGGTTTCAGATCGCTGCCTACCACATAGAGTTATTGTGGAGATGAAATGAGATCATTTATGTGAAATTGTAAACTATGAAAGTACTAAGCCTAATAAGCCTTTGAGAGCTGGGCTTTGCAGGCCTTGCATTTTAAGAAAGACTATTACTATCCATTAATCTAGAGCATAATGGAAATTCACTGTATACCTTGAAATCCTGTGTTTATGACTTTTAACCTTGCACCAGACATGGCTGGCTGACCTGTTTAGCTGTGTTACTTGTCAAGTTTCTTCTGACTTTTCACTAACAGCCCACACCCCTGTGGGGAAAGGAGAGGGGCAAAAAAAATGTTTGCTTGGTGATATCGCCAAGCTATTATTCTAGCAGGCCACCTTTCACTTCTTGGGGTGGTTAGAGGGTTGTGTAAAGTAAGAAGTTTGCAGGGTCACTATTGCTCATGTCTGTAACTTCTTTCTTTGAAAATTTTCTTTTACCCACCATATTTATTCGGTGTCAAGAATATAGAAATGCTTACAGGCCATATAACACTCTACATAAAGTATTGGTTGTCATTAGTAATAATTACCAAGATAATGAATGCATAAAACAGGGACTGAACACAGCCTGGCAAACACTTCCAGGCTTGTATTCCTTATTACTACTGAGGAACTCACTTTTCAACAAAGAAGAGGGAAGGATCTGAGGTTCCTTACTAGGTGTGGCCATTGGTGATGCTGGCTTGAGCAAAGTGGATCTGATTTTCTTCCCAGGATGCGGGATGCTCGATCAGTTCCTCTGGCAGGAATATCTTCCAGGATAGGACAGATAATGTATCCCCTGAAATTTCACTGCCAGAAATGAAATAAGAAATTGACCACACTCTTTCAGATCTAGAGACACTACATGAATTATGTTAATTTTTAATAAAAGTGTACTCTTGGTACCAAGCAGGTTGTAAAAATCAAATTATACAAAAACAGTATACATTGATCCAGTCTCTAAAAGCATTGTTGTCTAGCTAACTAAGGTATTCTCCAGAAAACTGGGGCTGGAGGTCTGCAGATTCATAATCCCTTCTCCAAAACAAGATCTGTTTTGGAATTCAGGATCCTGGTGTACCATGATGTCAAACACCCTGAGTGAGATCTAATGCAGAACCCTATAATCAGATGCATTAATACATCTGCATCATAAAGAGTAAATCCCCACGCTGAGTGGTTTAATAAAGACTATAAATACAAGTTAGGATTTAATGCCAATAAGTTCAGATCATGTCATATTTTGTTAGCAAATGTGTTATGCACACCTTTTGATTTTCAGGGACTTTTGAATTTTGGAATTACACATAAGAGATTGTTGATCTGCGTTATATTCGGATGTTAGCTCCTAACAGGAGTGCCTTTCCTATGTGCTAAGATACCATGTAACAAGTGCTCATAAGACACTAGGGTGAGTAGCACCATTTGGGGGGGGGGTGCTGTGTTCAAATTCCAGCCATGAAGAGTGACTTTGGGAAGGTTATTTAATTTCCCAGGGTCTTAGTTTTTTGTCTTTGGAGCTGCAGGAATTATTAAGATATGCACATGAGGTACAATGTACATTGCATTAGGCACTCTGTAAAATACGTGTCCATTTCCTCATCTATATAAGTAGATAGTAATGGTGCTTGTCACAGAGGTGTTTTATGAGTCCTAAATAGAGTAACCTGCTTTCCTATCAGCAGAGTTGTTCTTAGGGAAAAAAAGACAATAAATATGAATGAATGAATGGCGCATTGAAAATTCTGATATTCATAATTAGAATTTTCCAGACTGTAATTCCATCCCATTCCGTCTCAATCCTTCCAAACTGCTTCCCTTTCCCTAGCGGCAACCCCTATTCCACTCCTCCCCTAGCCCCAGCGCCTTGATCTTCCGTCATTTGCACAGCACTTGATGAACTTAGCACTTGTCTTCCTCACCACAACCATGCAGGTGTGTGAGGCTGTCTGGGAAGCTGTCCCAGATGCTGACAAACCCTTGGCAGTGGGATAGAAAGGAAAAAGGGAAATTTTGGCTGACATCTCCAGATCTGACTGCTTGCTCATCTGGAGAGTTCTAGAGGTATCTTTAAAGTTTTAGGATAAATGATGAGGCTGCTGTACTTTTTCATTCCCCCCAGCCCCTAACAGATACATTTCTTGGGTTCTTTCTCTATTTTTTTTCTTTTTTAGTTGGTTATAGTTCAATCACTTGTGATTGGTCAGTAAACGTGGGGTTCAGTGGAGTCGTAAGTCTGCAAGATGTAAATCCAGCAGTGGCTGCAGGAGTGGGTGTCAGCGAGGCGGAGACCAGGGGAGGAATGTGTGTGCCGCAGCTTGGGCTGATGTCTTGGCATGGTTGTCATATTTCCTGGCATGTAAGGACTGGATCCTCTCTTAAGGCCACACATATTTGGCAAGCCCTATTATACTACTATTATACTACTATTATACTACTTGGGGTACTTGGGTAATGAAGGTGATAGATAATATTGGGTAGGTACCAGTTGGACAGGGACATGAGAGAATATGGAAAAAATCCTTTTTAAAGAGCTTTATTACATTAGATTGTAGTGTCTGTAAACAATTACTGCATTCAGGGAGTTGCAGGGCTTAAATGAGAAACACAGCTTTGTCAGATTATACCAGTCGGATAAAATGGCATGGGCTCCGGAAATCTATAATTAAATGTATTTTTGAAAATGAAAAATATAGCGTAACATCTGGTTTATTTCACGACAGAAGTGCCTGGGTATTGCTTCCATCAGTGTGATTGACTCTGGCTGATATTTGGATTTCTCTGTGTAAAGTAACTATTTTAATTAAATTTTTTCTGCTTGATTCTCTTTGTGCTGTAAACAGATTATTCACACACATGCATTCGTATAGAAAATGGTTGCCTTATTTAGAAAATCTAATGTTTGTTCATTTTCTTTTCCTTGCAGCGGATATTCAACTCCTTTGTTTACACTGAGAAAATTTCAAATGGAGAAAGTGAAGTGCAGCAGGTAAGAGGTGACGGCACACTTGGCATTCTCTGTCTTTGGATTGCTTTTGGCTTCATGACTCTTTCCAATCTCCATGTGAGGTTGTCTGTTGCTCTTTATATATGATTTCATACACATCTTAAGCAAATGGTGACAACCTCCCACCTAGGTTCTTATAAGCAATCGGAATAATGGTTATAGGATGGTTTTCTGCTATTCATGCTATCCATTGAAAATACTACTTAGTTCCTTGTTATTTTTTTGGAAATTCCAAAATATTAGAAATATTAGAAATGATTTCATCTGCTATAGGGAAAAGTGCTCACGCTTTGGAATCAGACAAACCCCAGGTCAAAATCTGGTCTTTCTACTTATTTCATGACTCTCAGGAAGAAATTTATCCTTTTGAGCTACAGTTTCTTAATCTTAAAATAGGTGGAAATATATCTGCTTGATGGGGTTGTGAGAATTAAACAAAGTAATGTCCAGTTAACTGAGAATAAGTGAAATGCGTTAGGTGGATGGCCTGATGTAGAAGTAGCTCAGTGAATGTTGGCTTCTTTGTTCTTTTATTTTTCTTTTCTCTTTTTGTTTTCTTCCATTGCTGCTTCTCTCCCGTCTTCTCAATGCTCTGTGGGGTCAAAAAGTTCTAAGGCCATATTCTATTCACTTTATTTATAGCTGGCTTCAAATGGACTGCTTCCTAAGCTAAAACATAGTGTTGGTGAACTTGGTCATAAATAATTGATCCGTGCTTGAAAAAAAAGGTGCTAAAGAGGATTCTGGGTTTTAATTTCAGCTAATCTACCAACCTCATTACACTATGTGACTCCCAACTAGTAATTTGAAGCTAGATTGGAAACTTAAGTAAAAAACAGGACCAAGCTGAAAACCAGAGTGTAACAGTGTTTCCACAGAATAAAAAGATAACTATAGGAAAATATAAAATAATTTAAACTCCCTGAGTTGCTGCCTTTATCTTATTCATGTTGACTTGATCAGAACTTCAAAAGTGCTATGCAGAAGGACAAAGTTTTCAAGTGTCATTAAAGTGAAGTTATTTATAGGATAGTTATTTATTTATAATAAACTACTGTGGTTTCATCTTGAAGTTCAACATCTCCTGTTTATAGACATTCAAGATGTTTATTGGTTTCTGCAGGTTAAATTTAGACAACATGAGACATTAAGCATGTACCCCTTTTCTTAGCTTTAGATAATTTTAAAAACTAATGACCTGAAATTGTAGGGAATGTGGTTTGTTGTATCAAACCTTACCTTCATGATTCTGTCTTATTTTTATTCTGGCAAACTGGAAAGTGCTTTAGGGTCATGTAAAGGGTTTTTATAGGAGAAGGTTTCTACACAAAGCATGTTCAAGGAGACTTACTGGGAGACTAAAAGCCATTTGATAAGGTTTTAAAGAAACTGATCCAAGAATATCAATTTTGTTGCCTTTCTTTAAGTAACAGATACAAGTTCTTCTTTTAGATGTTTTTTCTTGGCCAAGGGGGATGCCATAGGGCACTTGGGATCTTACTTCCTGGACCAAGGATGGAACCTGTGCCCCCGGCATTGGAAGTGTGGAGTCTGAACCACTGTACCCGCAGTGAAGTCCCTCTTTAGCTGTTTTTAAACATGAAAGTTGTTTCATTTTCTTGGAGTGATGTCCTTGCTTTTTAAAATCCAGCTGTGAACAAGTTTGGAAATCTTCTATAATAATTTTAAAAAATTATTAGCAGCTTATTTAGTGCACCTATAGAAGTATGGTGATTTCCATATATTATCATATGGGTTTTTCCATATAACCCTGAAGGAAAGATGCTATCATTATCTTAGATGAGGTTGACAAAACTCCAAAAGATAGAATAAGTTAGCCACAGTCTCGTGACTACTAAGTAAGAGAACTGGTTTTCAAAATGAGTTTGACACTAAGTTATACCATCTATATTTTTATTTTAACTGGGTTTATTTTAAAATCTGTATTTTCTTACAAAACAGAAAGTGTTCATTGCTCAGTCATGTCTGGCTCTTTGTGATCCCATGGACTGTAGCCATGGAATTCTCCAGGCAAGAATACTGGAGTGGGTCGCCATTCCCTTCTCCAGGGGATCTTCCCGACCCAGGGACTGAACCCAGGTCTCCCGTGTTACAGGCAGATTCTTTACTACCAGGGAAGCCTACAAAACAGAAGGCTGCTAAACTATCTTTAGTTGAAGAAGGTAGATGAAAGAGACTCATCACCTCGTCATTTCTGTCTCCTCCCTTTTATTGTCAAAATTTCTTTCTTAAATATTGACCAGGAATGTACTTTTTAACTTTTCTTTAATTTCTCCAGTCTCTCTAGAAGAACCTTGGACAAAATAGATCTTATGCCACTTTCACATCCAATATTTGGAGATAATTATCATGTCATTATCGTTTAGCCTAAAACTGAAAATACCCAGGTCCTGCATAATTTTTTCTTCCATGACAAGGTTTCCAGACGCTTTAAGTGAGTATCTGCTCTGCCTTCAATATTATGATTCTCTTGTGGCTTGAATTGGACTAGAGTTATCCTCACTCTAAATTGAGAGAACAGAGAATTCCTGACATTTACTTGACTTGATTAATAACTGCCTGGGAACTCAGGGCCCTGTGATCCTGGACAGTACTCAGGATGAAATCTTTAGGGAAATGCTTACCTCTGTATTTCCTATTCTGTCCCCCATCACGGTGGCTCACACTTTCATACATATTATCTCCTTGACACTATAGAATAACTATAGATGGAGTTTAGCTATAACTAACCAAGTTCACGAAGGTCAAGGAGCCTAGTTGTTAAGTAACTGAGCTGACTTTTTAAAAATTGTGAAATATATCAAACATGTAGAAACATGTATGAGTAGAATACAGAAATACTGGATTAAAATGAACATCTCAACCTACAACCCATCTAAAGAAATAAAGCATTCCTGGTACTTTAGAAAGCACCCGTGTAACCTTCTCACCCAAGGATAATTCTGTCCTGATTTTTTGTTAACCATACCTTTGCTTGTGTGTGTTTGAGATATATATATATATATATATATATATATATATATATATACATCCCTAAATTCATTATTTGATTGTTTTTGTTCTTTATATACATCTCAAGTATATTATGTTTACATATCTTGCTACTTTACTGAGTATTATAATCCTTAAAATCACCTCTGTTGATTTATGTAACTAAGGAGCATTTATTTTCAATTATAAACATTCCATTAAATGCAGTTTATGTATCTGTTTTTCTTTTGATGATGTTTGGGTTGTGTCTAGTGTTGATTTTTATTGTTGTTAGTCTTATCTCCTGGTGCAATATTTAAGTGGAACAATTCTTTGACTTGCAGGAACATTATTATCCCTGACTTCTGCCAATTAAATGCTTTTCCAGGTACCCTGGGTCAAGGGAGAGATTGGCTAGGGTGGAGAATTCCTTCTCTAAACTAGAATTGCTGGGTACCAGAGTGTTCAATGTGATTGCATAATGCAAAACTGCTCCCTCAGTGGTTACCATGGGTTACCTTTCTACAGACAGTGTACTGGAAATGTGCTGCTCTATACCATCTTCAATACTTGGTATTACTGAGTTTTAATCTTTTGCCAGTTTGGAATGTTGAGATTTTATCTAACGAGTTTAATTTGTTTTACTCTGATTACTAATGAAGTTAAAATGACTGTTTACCATGTTTATGGTTCATTTTTTGTGTGCTTATTATTGTGTTGAATGTCTACTAATGTCCTTTGTCCATTTTTAAAATTGAGTTGTCTGTTTAGTTTAGAAGTTTAAATATTCCACACTTGTTCTAGATCAGCTCTATCCAAAAGAGACTTCTGTGGTGATGGAGATGTTTCATACTGGTGCTAGTCAGGCAGCCACTAGCACTTGCGGCTGCTGAGCACTTGAAATGTAGCAATAACTACTGAGTAATTAAATTTTAAATTTAAGGTAAGTAGTCACATATGGCCAGTGATTACCACATTAGATTTCCTTAAAGATTTATGTTTCATAGATATAAATGTTCTCCCAATGTGTGGCTTTTCTTTTCTCCTTTAAGACTTTTTGTCACTTGGAATTGCTTTTGATGTTGGATGTGAAGCAGATATTCAGTTTTTTTCCCACTGCCCCATATCTATTGCCACGTGTTCTTACACTATCTGTTGAGCAATTGTCCCTTTTATTTTTTCTATTTGTTTTTAGTCATTAGTGAAATTTCCATGTATGTGTGAGTTTGATTTGGTTTCCTTTGGTGTATTTATCTATAATTGTGCCAGTACCACATATCTAGATGGCTAGCGTCATGTTTCTTAGAAGTTTAGATCATTTGCTTTTACATGTGAATTTTAGAAACAGTATTGGCATTGCCATATAGAGCATATAGAGCAGTTTGGAGAGAATATCCTACTAATATGATTTGGTAAATACAGTGTCTCTTAGCATAGTTTTATAATTTTGTTCACAAGAGACAAATATCCATGCATGTGGGATTTATTTATGATTTTTTTGTTTGTTTAGGTTATCAGTGTACCTTTAAAAATTGTATTTTTTTTAACTGTTGCTTTTCAGTTCCATGCATATATTTTATGTCTAATTTTTTTAAGCTATCATATGAGTTCTAATGATTTATCTGTAGATTCCTTTGAGTTTTCTATGTAGATAATTTCTTTTCTGTTTCCTCCTACAATGACCTCCAGAAAAGTATATTTGATAATTGTATATTGTGACCACCTATGATATATATTATTTTTATTTAGGTGTATTCCTATTTTATCACTTCTTCTTTGATCTATTTATTTATTTAAAAGTATGTTCTAAAATTTCCAGATATCTGTAGAATCTTTCTATCAGTAATTTTCTAACCATCTCTCTGTATTCCCTCATTGTACTGAGAGCATAGAGCTCTTTGGGTTATAGTTCTATGCACTGTCTCCTATCATAATTCTCCACTTGGCCAAGCCCTGAGGTTTTGTCTCTTATGTGTCCGATGCCCCATGTG